TCCCCTCAGACCTGGGTACAGGATGCGGCTGGTCATGCCAGGGAACACCATGAGGAACATGGGCAGCAGCTTGAGGTAGCCGCAGAGGATACAGCCGGCCTTCACGTGGGACATGTTCTTGGCAGACAGACAGCGTTGCACGATCACCTGAGAGAGGACACAGAGGACAGGACAGAGTCACAGAGGACACAGAGGACAGGACAGATGGACACAGAGGATAGGACAGACGGACACAGAGGACAGGACAGAGGGACACAGAGGACACAGAGGACAGGACAGATGGACACAGAGGACAGGACAGAGTCACAGAGGACAGGACAGAGGGACACAGAGGACAGGACAGAGGGACAATGATTACAGGACAGTCACAGAGGACAGCACAGAGGACACAGATTACAGGACAGAGTCACAGAGGACAGCACAGAGGGACACAGAGGACAAGACAGAGGGATACAAAGGGACACAGTAGACACAGAGGGACACAGATTACAGGACAAAGGACACAGAGGAGACAGAGGATGTAGAGGAGACAGAGGGCATAGAAGGGCAAAGAGGAAAGGAGAGAGGAGCCAGGAAAGGACAAAGGGACACAGAGGCAGGTAGTGGAAACAAGAGAAAAAGAGTAGGTCTGGACCAAATATTTATAAATGCATAAATGTTGTAAATAAATATCTAAAAACTTCTATGCAATCTTTACTGTCTCCACCTGTCGCTGCGTACTGTACCTGGTCAGTGCACCAGTACCAGGTGCCCAGGACGGTCAGTCCGAAGACGAGGCCGGGCCAGGGCAGGTCGCCGGTGACGGGGTCGCGGAAGATGTGGAAGGAGTCGGGCCGCGGGGTGTAGCAGCTCTTGCTGATGTTGAGTCCCGGAGCCGAGATGAGGGAGGGCACAGCCTTCATGTACTTGTCCTTGAAGGCTTCATAACCCCCGACCTCACCGAAGCCTTCAGCCCCAGACACACAGCACACAAACACAGGGCGTCAGCAGCAAGAACAGCTGGGAGACTGCGGAAAACACTGAGGAAGAGGAGGCAGTACTCACAGAAGCCCATGAGGATGAAAGAGCCGACCACCATGATGACAGTCTGCAGAGTGTCGGTGTAAATCACTGCAGCCAGTCCACCTGAGGAGAAACAGCACAGCACACTGTACACACAGCACACTGATCACACAGCACAGCACACTGTACACACAGCACACTGTACACAGAGCACACTGTACACACAGCACACTGCTCACACAGCACACTGTACACACAGCACACTGATCAAACAGCACAGCACACTGTACACACAGCACACTGTACACACAGCAAACTGTACCAGAGCACACTGTACACAGAGCACACTGATCACACAGCACACTGTACACAGAGCACACTGTACACACAGCACACTGTACACACAGCACGCTGTACACACAGCACACTGATCAAACAGCACAGCACAC